CGCCGCCCTGAGTCCTTCCCGGAGAAGGGCGGCATAAAAGTAATAAAATTCAATTCAATTCAATTCACTGTCATCCTCCTACTCCTATTCCACTCCACAAACCCCGCTTCCTTCTAGCACTGATGATGTTACCTAGTTGGGTAATGAAACGTCTGCAAGAAAACAAGTGAACTCAGAGAGCACCAAAGACCCCCACCAAGGACCCCCTCCTTTTAACCCTGAGCTACAAATGCTCCCCTTTATTGACACCACATATTTCAACCTTCCTGACTTATTCAGCAGCAGTTACTAAATCCCCTTTTAGGCTACGGATTAAGGTCACAATGAACTGAAATGGAACTATCCAGATGACACTATGCCGCCACCACCAAGAGACAGCCAATTCTAATCCTTGGCCCTGTGACAGATTAGATTGTGATTAGGTTTGTAGAATAAACCATGGTTTATAGAACAAGCCATCTGTGGCTGGGCCCGGCTGACAGGTTAAGCCACAAAGCACTGGTTATAAATCTCTGTGGCAAAGTTCACACAATGCCTCAACACCAAACAAACCGTATTTTTAAGTACATAGCAGATTTTACATGTTTAAAGAAAGATCCCATCTCTAGGTGTGTGCACGATAAGCCATACATGTTTTCTCCTTGCACGGCTGCCTGTGAGGTTTTGACACGCACACAAGTGTAGCAAAGTTCACAAGGCCAAGCCCATTTCACCGATCCTGATCAGTGAAAGGCAGGATTTTAAAGCTGCACACAGCCCACAGTCTCCATACAGGAATGCAGCCTGGGGAAAGAAGTATACAAACATTACTGATTACAACACCCACATCACATCCAATATTTACAACACAAAAGGTGAAGAAATAGACTGGATACATTCAAAATGTAGGCTGCTCTTGTTCCAGCAAAAGTAAATGAAAGGCTTGGAAACAAGCAGAGGGACGTTTGAATGAATCCTTAAAGAAAGATAGGTTGGATTCCAATTCCTAAACCCTCGACACCAATATTCCTTCGCCTTAAATGTCAAGAGATTATCTTTCCAGTTACTCACCAGTACTTGCTTGGTGGTTATTTTTTTAGATTAACCCAATCCATTACTCATGCAAAGTGACTGCCAACCCTTTAGTTTTCATATTTCCTATAAAAAAGTGGGGGGGAACAGTTGGTTGCACCCTAAGGACTGATCCACGTTCAAGAAAAGATTGGGCAGTCATGTGTCTGGAAGGGCTCTCCTGTTTGAGGAGGGGGTTGGATTAAAAGACCTCCAAGGTCCCTTCCAACTCTGTTATTGCTTTTGGACTCTAAGCAAAGCCAGACTTTGTGATGTTTGTGGTTGGTCTATCTATCTATCTATCTATCTATCTATCTATCTATCTATCTATCTATCTATCTATCTATCTATC